TTCTTTTCTTCCTCTCGTTTTGCCCCCCCCCCTCTCTCTCTCTCTCGATTTCGATAGTCTCTATCTCCCTCTTCCTCTCTCAGTTTTTTTTCTTTCTTCCTCTTCAGTTCAGCTCCCCTCTCTCGATCTGTCCCCCCCCCTGTTTTTATAGGCAAAAAACAGGGGAGCAAGTTAATAGGGTGGTTACTATGCTTCCACACTTCCACCATCGGTCCAACATGTGAAAAGTAGTGTTGGTGTCTTTTTAAAAGTGTCGCCTGGAAAGATTGAGAGCGGTGACAGAGGAAGGAAGACAAAATCAGCTTCTTCCCTTATTTCGCATGTCTAGGGGAAGAAGATGATGGTGCTGTTCAAAACAGCATCATTTTGAGTTTTTTTTTTTTTTTTTGTAAACAGTGCATGAAACAGAGTTGTTTTGGTTAAAGCACACCGGGGATGGATCTGAGCCATCTACTGTGGGCTAGGCTGATGTCCCAGCCCAGACCTAATTGGGCTGGTTACTGTGCGTTAGCACAATAACCACCCAACGTTGTATTTTTACAGCACAATGTGAAATCACGTTCTGCATGCAAAAATGCAAACGAAGGGCAAGGAAATAAACGGTGGGGAGGAGGCTTACCTAGAGCGGTGGCGCTGCCGGTGGTTCACGGTGGTAGGCAATGGCTCTCGGCCTTCTTCTTCCTCGGTTTTATTTCTTCCTTAGCTATTTTTTATTTCTTCTTTTTCTTTCCTTTTCTTTCTTTTCTCTCGTTTTGCCTCTCTTCTTTTCTTCCTCTCGTTTTGCCCCCCCCCCTCTCTCTCTCTCTCGATTTCGATAGTCTCTATCTCCCTCTTCCTCTCTCAGTTTTTTTTCTTTCTTCCTCTTCAGTTCAGCTCCCCTCTTTCGATCTGTCTCCCCCCTGTTTTTACAGGCGAAAAACAGGGGAGCAAGTTAATAGGGCGGTTACTATGTTGCCACACTTCCACCATCGGTCCAACACGTGAAAAGTAGTGTCGGCGTCTTTTTAAAAGTGTCGGCTCGAAAGATTGAGAGCGATGACAGAGGAAGGAAGACAAAATCAGCTTTTTCCCTTGTTTCGCATGTCTAGGGGAAGAAGATGATGGTGCTGTTCAAAACAGCATCGTTTTGAGTTTTTTTTTTTTGTAAACAATGTATGAAACAGAGTTGTTTTGGTCAAAACGCACCATTTCATTTAAATAAAAAAACAGCAAAAACCTGTTAAGTTTCACTTTGATCCTTAATTTGTAATTTTATCAATTAAGTCCTAAATTGCAATTTTAATTTAAAAATTAATGTAATTGCATCCCTTCCAAAATCTAACAGTGGCCTTATAGTTGGCCGTCATTTTCATTTTGGTCATTGGACTTGATATTATGCAATTTGATCCTCGACTAAGTAATAAACTTCTAATTTCTTCAATTGGGCCCCTGACCGGTTTTAATTTCAGCTCCTTTACTTATGCCTCTTTTCTATTTTGGTCCTTGGTTTCAGATTTCTTCAATTAAGTCTCTAATTTGTCATCAAACTTTAATATTTATACAATTAAGCCCTTGATTTGACCAAATTAACTTCTAAAAGTTATAATTTGATTCTAGAACTTTAATTTCTTCCAATTAAAGGTTAAATTGACCCCAAAATTAATTTTTCTTGCAATCAAACTCTCCATAAATTCAATTAAACCTTCAATAAAATTTAATTGAGTATATAAGCATATAATTTTGAACTTTTCTTGCTCAATTAATTTTTTTTGTTAACAGGGTTGTTATCAGTCAATAAAATACTGTCAAATTTTAATTTTTATATTTTTTTAACCTCCTTGATCAATTTTTATCTATTTTTTGGGCAGGCTGACATCCTTTGTTCACTGTTAATATTTTTTTATTTTTTTACTTTTTACTATTTTTTATATGAAAGTTCAAAAATAAGTTATAACAATTAATAAGGTGGTTGGCATTGCTAAGCTATTTCTTTATTTCTAGCATATATTAAGATCGTAGGTGTATATATATCCACAAGACCATTAATTATAATTTCTCTCCTCTCGTTGGCACGTTTTAGAAATAAATGGTAAGCATGTTCATACATGTATACACCTTAATCATATTATTTTACTTTTTTATTTAGTTTAAAAATCTTAATGCCACTTGAATTTTATTAACATGTAACTTCCAATAAAGAATTATTTCTTATTTCTTATAACAATTTTACAATTAATTATTTAAGACTTTTTCAGTTTGGAGTATTTTATAAAGTTTAAGATTGTAATTTTTAAAGCTTTAAAAACTCTAGTTATATCTTTCGATATATTCTACATCAATATATAGCAGAGTACATTAGTTTATTAAAAACTTGTTTGGAATTGTACTTTGGAATTATGGTCGTGATTTAAAGGATTTTTTGTTGTTTGGAATTGTACTTTGGAATTATGGTTGTGATTTAAAAGATTTTTTGCTTAGGAATATATTAAAAAATTATTTTTAAAATTAACATATCAAAACAATCTAAAAATATAAAAAAATTATTTAAAAAAAAATACAAATTAAACTATATTTCCAAATAATAGCTAAATAAACATAAATATTGGCAACATCATGCAATAAATAAGTGGAGGTCATTTAGGACATATAAAGGCTCTACAAACAGCACGCGAAACTTTATTATAAGAGTTTGGTCGGTCCGTTGAAAGGAAAGAAGACCAAAATCAACATTTTCACAAAAGCATTCTTAATTTTAACGAATTTTTTTTTATGGGGATTTCTCAAAATGAAAAAAGAAATTTACTAAATGGTTGTAGAGTTAAAGGTGTTGAACAAAATTCATAGTTACCAGATGATAGAAACAATACGTAAACTTGCTTTTGATGTTGAATATTTGTGCACAATATTCTATAAGATGGCGTTCATGCCTGTAATTTCAAGCGTTATTTCTTAATTCAATTTATGATGTTGAATTTGATAGAAGTTTGACCATTGCATTTTGTCAATGGTTTCAAGGAAGCTAGCTACAACGTTGTATTTCAAATGCATATTCCCTTGAAATGGAAGAATTCAATTTTTTTATCATGAATTCAAGCACAATTTTTTCTCAAATGAGGAGTATAATGTGAAACTTGTATTAAAAATCCAAGTTCAAATCCTAAAGGAAACTTGGACGTGTCAGGTGAACTTTCTAACATAAATTATTTTTCTATAAAGATGTAGGTTTAACACTAGCATAAATAGAATTAGCTAGTTTATTTTTTATAATAGTTTTAAAATTAATTATTCAAAGATTCTCAATTCAAAGCTTTCTCTATAGTTTAGGACTAAATATAATTAATTTTAAGACATGAGAAACAGTAGTTTTCTTGCGTTTAAGATTGTAATTTTTAAGCTTGGAAAACCCCATCTTAGTATCTTTCACTACACAGGACACACTACGTAAATTCCTACCTTGGTTTATTCATATAGTCTTGTACCAGCAGCAGTCTAGTGTTGTCCCCCCTTGAACAGGATTCCGATCCTGTTCGGCGCCTGAAAACTTGAAGCCGGCCCTCCCAAGTCCCAACCTCACATCCGTGAGCAAAACGTGCGTGCGGCGTTGCTGTCATTTGGAAGCTATGGGCAAGATGTGCCTGCGCTGTTGCTGTCATTTGACAACCATGGGTTGGTGCTATTACTTGTTGAGTACACATGGTGCCATGGGGAATACAGCTCTGTCGAATTGTGATGACGACAGGGATGATGCAATGCTCAAATCAGAAATAAGGACGTTGAGAGATGGTGTAAGAAAATGGGAAAGGCCAAAATTTGAATGCCAATGTGTCGACTTCTTATTGGCCCATCTAGCTGTGTCCCATCACAATCATGGACCCTACAACCATTGGAACTAAACCATGGGAGCATATCAAGTTTTAGGTCCCGGGCTCCTTTCATAAAACTTATGGTGGGTCCATTATCTTCCATCCTCCATGCATTTATTAGGCAAGTGAGTCTCACGCTATAATTAAATGCTGATCTTTCCCATATCTATGGTAAGGTTGCACATACTTATTAAACCCGGTTTCGTGGGTGGATCTAGTTCTTGACTTGGAATGAATTATCCTGGTTAGATCTCGTAGTAGACTCCACAGGTTAATCTAGAATTCGTTGGACTTGCTCGAGCACAAGATAATTTGGACCACCATGTATTAAGACACCATTTATGTTTGGATTTGTGTTTAAATGAACGTTTAAATTAAAAAAATATTGAATTAATGATTTTTTAATGATTTTGATGTATTAATATAAAAAATAAAAATAATATTAAAATTAATTTTAATAATTTTTTAAACAAACAATATTAAACAGGCACTCGATATGGCTATTTTAGTATGATACTGATATAATAAATTACAAGCACATGTTTTTCCTTTTAATATCAAATACCATAATGCTGATATGATAAATTACAAGGATATGTTTTTCCTTTTAATATCAAATTTTATAATCTCTTTTAAAACATTTTTTTTTTCAATTTGATAACAATCATGAAAGTTGAATTGTCATGAATTCTAATATTTTAGTATAAATAATATATTTTAAAATGAATTAAAAAAGAAGAATTTAATCTAGATATACAAGAGTTTATAAAAAAAATCTTAATAATAATAAAAATAATAATGAAGATAATGATGCATGTATTAAATACAATAGTCTGTTTTTTTTTTAACTTATCTTCATTAAATCTTGCATAACGAGCTTTAGAACACTTAATATAAAAATATGTGACATTTCATTTTTTTTTAATATTTTTTCCTTCATGATTGATGACATGGGTTTGAATATGAAGGTCAAATCCTCGTTAGTCGTATTAGAAAAAATAAACAATATATTAATTTTTATGTGCTTCTTAGGATGTAACCTCACACAAAAAGCTCTAGCCAATAATATTTTTCTGTTCTCCTTACTAAGAATATATATAAAATATTCATCGATCTTTCAAATTTTTGTTTTGACCCAATTCTGAATGTGCAAGTGTTCACACTTCATTTTCGACAATGAAGAAATAAAAATACAGTCAACAGGTGACTTCATATGCCATATTCATATTTAACTCGGTTCAATAAATGACTTAGAATCCAATTAACCCATCATTTAACTTGGATTGGATGTAAAAAATCAACTCATAATTAACTTAATCAACTTGATAAATTAAAACTTTGCTTGATTTTTTTTTAAAAATTAAAATAAATCTATTAAATATTTTAAATCAGTTAATTTAATTAACTCATAATTTTAATTTTGTATCCAATCAACTGAAATTAATATTACATTTAATAAGTATTGAATGTTTATGAAAAAAGAAGTTAGCTGACTTTCGTATAAAGTTAGGACTATTTAGAAGAGTGTAATTATAATTATTTTTTAAAATATTTTTTATTTAAAAATATATTAAAATAATATTTTTTTATTTTTAAAAAATTATTTTTAACATTATTACATTAAAATGATTTGAAAACTTAAAAAAATATTAATTTGAAATAAATAAATGACTTAGAATAATAATTTTTTTAAAAAATACTTTTAAAATACAAAATCAAACAAGGCTTTTAAGTGTGACTCACACATATACAAGCGTGTGGAGATGTTCAACTACAAATTAATATTTTGATTTGCCCTGAAGCAAGAGAAATCACAAGTATATAAAGGTGGTGCGTGGAGCTTGGCTCTCCAGGAGTAATTTTTTTTGGAAGCGATCATATAGCAACTAGTGACTTGAACTATAGTGATGGGAAGACAACCTTGTTGCGACAAACTTGGTGTGAAGAAGGGCCCTTGGACAGCTGAGGAAGACAAGAAGTTGGTCAATTTTATTCTCACACATGGCCAATGTTGCTGGCGTGCTGTACCCAAGCTCGCCGGACTCCGCCGGTGTGGCAAGAGCTGCCGTCTTCGCTGGACTAATTACCTCCGGCCTGACTTGAAGAGAGGCCTTCTTAATGAGGATGAGGAGAAACTTGTCATTGATCTCCATGCCCGCCTTGGCAATAGGTAACTATGTATTATCGAGCTATCATCAAGCCATTTAATTCATTGTTATATGCTTCATGTCTCATCTTTTATTACCTTTCCATTACCAATAACTTTTCATGGTTGGTGGAGCATGCTTGGGGAGGATCATTTTCTGCATCTAAGAAATTTCAACATCAAAAACTCTCTCTCTATTATAGTACTTGTCATAGTTTTCATCATTTTAGTTTAAATATTGTGTCCAACCAAGCATGTTTAACTTCTTTTTTACACCATGCTTCTTGTTGTTTTTCCCCTTCATTTTACGATTCACATGATTAAAAATGACTTAGTTTTGATGTTTTTTCTACACACACACACACACACACAACAACAACAACAAGAAGATGAAATCACAAGTTTAAAGACCATCAAAATTTAAACTTGGTGTGTTCATGGCAAGATACAATCTAAGAATATAGCTATCTAAGCAAAGAAGTTAAACATAAAAACTTTACTAACACAAATAACATTAAATCAAATGGTTTTATAATTAGTAGTTACATCTTTTTGGTGTTGTTCATATAAAAATAACATCAAATTAATGTTTTTAAGTGATTTTTGATGGTTTTGCTACTAATATAAAAAATAAATAAAAAATCTAAAAAAATATAATTTTAATGAGTTTTTAATTGAAAAATACTCTTACAAAAATAGTTTTTACCTCAATAACAAACCCACGTAGTGATACAAGGGAGGCTTCACAACTATTATAATAATAAATAAATAAATAAAAAGAAGAAGGTTTTTAACCTTTTCTTTTTTATTTATGATGTAAGCTATTATTAAACAAGTATACTAGGTATATAATGATTAGGTATTTAACACAATTTATTAATTTATTTTAAGAAGAAAGGCCTAATATTCAAAAGTGCTAGGCAGAGTTACTTTTTAGAGTATTCATCTTGCATCGTCACATGCCAAGGATTCTGATCTTTGCTCACACTCGACATGAAACATCACTTGGGATGTGATAAGTTGAGGAGTGGTCATCGTCTACAATTTGGTTTGATCCCATGGACATTCCTTTTGCTTCTTGTAATGCCTGGAATTGTCTTGGCCTATAAAAATTAGGGTTTCGAAGTGGTGACACACAATTTAAATCTTCAACTTTATGAGTGCACAAAGTGCGTGAATTAACTAACATTCTAATCATAAATAAAAGATTTCCACTCAATACTATTAACTAATATTCAGCTCATACCAATATTATGAAAGTTGAGATTAAATAGAATGAAAGCTCCTTGTCTTTTTGCTGACACTTTTCATTTGCTTTAGGTGGTCCAAAATCGCTGCAAGATTGCCGGGAAGAACAGATAATGAGATCAAGAATCATTGGAATACTCACATCAAGAAAAAGCTTATTAAGATGGGAATTGATCCTGTTACACATGGGTCTCTCAGTAAACAAGTGACCCCAATAGAAAGTACAGTATCTTGTCACACTAATTATGATCAACCCATTATTAATGCTGATAATCAGCAGGTTCTTCCCAAAATTTGCGCCAATGCCTCCTCTCGTACTGATAATTCAAGCACTCCGACTACACCGACAGAAAATTCCTCAGTGGATGTATGCGTAGGGTCATCAGAACCTAATAAAGACAATGATCCAACAATGAGTTTCATATGGTCAGATGCATTTCTTGATGACTCATCTTGGAACTTCCCAGCCACGAGAGACGATTATAGTGAATTTGGGGTATCTAATTCTTCATCAGAGGACAGTGACTCTACATGGTTTTTAGACTGTAAGGATCTTGGAGATGAATTCTTTGGGCTTAGTTGCTTCAGTGACATGGACTTGAGTATCCTAGACATGGGTGGCAAGCATTAAAATGCACTGCCTCGTAGAGTGATAACAAGGTATATCTAAGTAACAAGGATGGAAGCACAAGGATTACATATTGAAGGCTCAAGCTTCCTGAATTTTAGTTTCTATATAGTCTTGCACTTAGTTTTTTCTTTTTTTCATCCCACCATTCAAATCTTCGAAAAGAACAAGGGAAAGGAAGATATTGAAAATGTTTAATAATGATTTTCCTTTCCTTTATCCAATTAATTCCAATAAGAGTTTCAAGACCCTTATAACATTAGAAAACTCCCGAAACTTCAGTTACCTAGTTCCTTCTGAGGAAGGTTGATGGATTGGCGCTGTGTCATGTAACCCAATATTACACTAACATACTTGTGGCTACAGCTTTTACCATGAATGGTTGTATTTTAAGACAACATTATGTGTACTAAATCTAGCATGTAATAGCTGACTGATTGGAGCCAGAAACTTCATGGCTGCCACTTGTAATTGCATATGATAAAAGAGATATATGGGAGGTTGAAGAAGAACACTCTTTATATGTGATAATTAAAATATGGGGAAGCCTAATCTTCATCCCTGACATTTTACCAATTCTCATTTTGATATTATTGTAATCTATTTCAAGATCCCCGCACAATATATATATATTTGAAAGAGAAAAAATAAAAAGATAAAACAATGAAAAAAAATAATCATCACGATGCTATATACACGTGACAGATATAATCAGACAAATTTATGCCTCAGTAAAGAAAAACTCAAGTATTTTTATCATGTATTTTAGCTACAGAGAGGCATAATATTAAAGCAATTGTATTAGTATCAAAATTAAGAATCAAATAACACATTGAAAAAAAGATTAGTTTTTTTTTTAAAATATCATTATTACAAAGTTAAATTGTTTATTTTATATGTGAAAAGTATACTTATACAATTAATAGTAACGAGGCACTCCGGGATGCAAGGAAATTCTTGATTCGAATCATATCTCTTGTATTTTTAACCTCTATGTGTGTGGTTGTTGATAAACCTTATATTGATTATAAGCTCTTTCCTATGATTTAAGTTTTAAGAATGATTACTTATCAGCGTAGTGTCTTGAAATATATAAGCAATGTGTGTTTGTGTGTATATATATAATGATAACTATCATACGTTAATGATAGTATGTTGATGTATGAATATTGAAAAAAAAATACTAGAATTAACATCAATGATAACGCCGGCATTATTAAAATAAAGGTCCTGAAATTGAAATTCAATCCCATCTCAGAAGTATCAAATTCAAACTCCATTGAAAGTTGGAAAACGATCGATCGACCAGATCATATTATATATATATATTATGAAAAAATGAAGGTATAATATTCTGTAATCATGACGAGCATGCTGATATTGATATGCAATGATACAGTTGTTGACATGTCCAGTTTGAGTACAGCTATGTGATAAATTGTAATGTATATATATATGAAAGGAGGTTATCATTAGCGTTTGATATACTAGGGGAATGCTTACAGTATTGCTACTGCTATTTAATTATGAAAGCACGACTTGAAAAAATAAACACCTTCCTTGCCTGGGAAGAGACAACTGCTAAAGTGCTATTTAATTATGAAAGCACGACTTGAAAAAATAAACACCTTCCTTGCCTGGGAAGAGAAAACTGCTAAAGTTTATTCCAAGGGATGAACACATTGCGGCAATAGAAGTAGCCAATTTTATTAAAATATAGATTAGTGTTTGATACATAGTTGGTTATTTTTTAAAATTTATGTTTAATATCAGTATATTAAAACTATTCAAAATCATAAAAAAATAATTTAAAATAAAAAAATAAAAAATTTTCTTAAACTAAAAAATAAATACATGTATATGTCAATAACTACTATTTTAAAACTTGAATAGATCTAATAGGTTGATTTGGGACTTAAACAAATCCAAATTAAATAAAAAATAAAAAACTCAGTTAACCCCATTATTAATCCATTGACTCTTTTTTTTAATTTTTTTCAATACAACATCATTTCGACTCTTTTTAAAATATATATATAAAAAAAATTTAGAATTAATTATATATATATATATATATATAAATTTAGAATTAATGTTTCCAACCCATAACCTTGGTTTTACTCAGAGTTAACCCTAATTGGGTTTTAAAATTATCAGTAACATTCTAGCTCACTATTTTTATAACACCATACATGGGATATCTATTTTATTTGTTTTAACCTTTAGGGTTTCCGAGTTGTCCATTTCTCCTTGTGAAAGGAATCAACATTCTGCAGATTTTATGATGAACTAAGACGATATGCTTGGCCTCTTGAAATTAAGTCTAGGAAGCAAATGCATATATTAATTATTTGAGTAACACCTCAAATATCAGCTGGTATATAACTTAGTCTAAAAGGCTACGGTGTCATTTAGTAATGCGGCTGCACCCGAGGTTAAAGCAAGCTGTGGTATATCCAAGAGGAAAGCTAGCTAGAATTGTTTATGATGGTTACGTAAATTATAATCTTGGCTAGTAGTGGCCTTAATCTTCAAACGTTAATGTCCAAAGGATAGCCAAAGTGGAACTCTAAAGCAGATGGCCTACTTCTGGCTGTGGAATTTGAGTGTGTTATGTTTCATAAACCAACCATAAACAAAAGCCATTATCATTGGCATGAGAGTAAGATCGTATCACAAAGGAAGAGATACCAGTGGTGGGCTATGGCCAGCAGGGTGATATAAAATGTAGATTGGATCATCAATTATTCCGAGACCATCTAATTCCTTGTCGTGCAACTTGACTCGTTACTTTTTTAATTTTATATAAGTACTCATTGTCTGTTATAGGATATGATAGTTATAAAACCAAGATCAATGGGTAACCTCGGTGATCCATTAATTTTGAGCTAAGTTTTATGTTAAATCGATTTTTTTATTAAAATAATATTTTTTTAATATATATTAAATTTTAAAAAAGATATTATTTCATAAGTTTTCTTATTACATTTTAGATTAATAAGTTCACTCGAGAATCAATCCACTCAACTTAGAACTTATATCACGGATTATATAGCCTGGACCATATCAATTCTTGAATTCTATGCTATGTACACACAAATGGAAAAAAGAACAAAAAAAGAAAAGAAAAGAAGAGAAAAGAAAAACTTCCTATAATTAAGAGGTAACAGCAAGTATAAGCATGTTTAAGACATTAAGCTTGGGATTTTAATGGGAAGGCATCAATTAATTCCACTCAAAATAAAATATTAAATTTTCCTAATATATATTCTTCTCAGAATCACGTCATAAAATACATCATGTATTGAATGAGCGAATCCCACTAATGAATTCCATAAATCAATAAAGTTTTATATTTTTTGGAAAGTATTCTCGATAAGATGAACATTGCTCTAATTCATCAACTTTTACACTTGATATTTCGTGAAATTATCATTGGCATATGCTTAAAGAGTATTGGTCTGTTACAAGAAACTTGGAGCCATTCCAAATCAGCTAGAAAAGGGAATATCCATATTGCCCAATCCACTTCAAATAAATAGATTAAAAAGATAATGAAAGTAGTTCAAAAATAATCATGATTTCCTCTTGAGCTAAACAAATTGTTAGTGAGATTATCATCATGGAATGCAGACAGTGCTTTTAAAAATGGTTTTTGAAAAAATATAAAGATAATTACTTTTAGATTTTTTATATATGACATGAAAATCATGGGAAAACATTATTAGTTTTATATTTTTAACAACAAAAAAATTGTTGAAAAGCTTTTATAAACCGAAAGAGATGCCGTGCCAACCACCATCTGAAGAAAATGAAGAAATAAATGAAAAAATCGTTGTTTATACAAGCTGACAAGAAAGAGCAAATGCCACTTTCTTTTCTGTCACTATCTAATGCAAGCTTTTATGGATTTCAGGGGGGAGAAAAGACCTTACCTACCTACTTTCAATAAGTTGAGATCCAGCCTGAAACTATCATGTATTTGTCTCACCTACTGTCCGTTTAGTGCAGCGGTGTCACCATCAAATTCAAGTATAAACATTTCTGTGTTTTGTTGTATTGTGACTCATGAAAGGCAATCCTCACGTCACGTGTAAGGGAAGATAGGAACGGTACCCGGTGATCTCTTCAGGAGCTTTTGTTTTGGCCTTCGATTCAAAAAACAATAAAGAAATCTATGCTGTGTTCGATAATGCGTTTGGACTGCGTTTGAAAATGTTTTTGGGCTGAATCATGTTTTTTGAATGCTTTTTATATAAAATTTTAAAATCATTGAAAGAAAGCAATCAATTCTACACTACTGCACTCTTGCAAAAGCACTGTAATTCTCGATAGTTACTGATGCAGGTGGAAAAAAAGTCCAAAAGCATATCTCTTTGGGTATATAATGCGATCATAATAATTGCAGAAAGCAAGAGCGTGCAGCTGTTGGGAAAGCTGTGGGTAGGATCCCAACGCATCTTTTCAAATTCTTAAGGCAGTTTTTGGAATGCTGATGACTATTGAATGGAATATATACTAATCACGACAGACAAATTACTCTCTTGTCTTGTTAGGCATTTTTTTTATATATTTTATTTTATATTTAGTAAACATTAAACAAAATCTAATTTATCATAAATCAATTTAGATTTAAATAAAAAATTAATTAGACATATTGAATAAAAAATTTGGGATAAAAAACTTGGGTCAACTTGCATTCTAATTACTATATATATATTTTTTTAATTTGATTCAATTCAAGTTAACCCTTTCAGCCTATGACTTAAACCTTATTTCAGGTAGATTCCGAATCAAGTTTTAAAATTATAATAATAATTAATTTTATTTATAAGTTAACTTGGATCGACTCAAGTTACCCTTTCGACTCGTTATCTAAATCTTGTTGTGTATCAACCTTCAAAATTAGCTTTTAAAATTATGATAATAATTATTTTTATTTGGATGTTAACTTGGGTTAACCCGGGCTAAACCTCTCGATCAATAACTTAGGCTTTATCTTAGGTTTACTCTTAAATTAATTTTAAAACTATAATAATAATTACTTTTATTTTTATATTGATTTGGATCAACCCAGGTTGATCTTCTCAACTTATGACTCATGCCTTGCCATAGTTCGCCCTAGTTCAACCATCGAGACGGGTTTCAAAATTATGATAATAATTATTTTTATTTTTATGTGATCTCGAGCCAACCCAAATTAACCATCTTGACCCATGACTTAGGCTTTACCCAAAATCGACCTCTAAGTCGAGTATTAAAACTATAATAATAATCACTTCTATCTTTACATTAACCCATGTCAATGATAAACTTAACTCGTGACCTAGTCCTAATCTTCAGGCAACCCATCAAGTCGAATTTTGAAACTATAATAATAATTATTTTTATCACTACGTTAACAGGAGCATTACATTTACTCGAATGAATGGTTAACCCGATCCATGACACAAGTCCGGGTTGACCTTCTCAACTTATGACTCATGTCTTGCCCTAGTTCAACCATCGAGAC